CTGGCCCCAACTCTCTATAATCTTAAAATCTGCTTTTTAAGTTTCTCTCAACACAATATTTTCTTAAGGCTCTAAGATTCTGTTCTGATGCAAATATTCCGATAAAAATTTAAGGTTGCTTGAAGATTTATTTTAAAACATTTGACTTTAACTTACTTGCTTTGTATGAAATACCTATGCTATTATTATTTTTTTCTTTTTGAGAAGTTTTTGCTATAGGGCGCGTGCGCTCGCCAGACAGACAGAGAAACAGAGAGACAGAAAGCGAGAAATCACCCCCCAGGGGGGATGGCCACGCCGCAATCCCTTCTCCTCCATTCTCCTCTCAGGATCTTGGGTACGCACACACACGAGCCCAGTCTGAGTTTTTTAAGCCAACGGGTCCAGGACGCGAACCACGGTCAACTACATGGGAGTCCAACGACATAGCCATTACGCTAACTGCTGGTCCCCCTATGCTGTTATTTTTAAAACCACGATATCCCTTGGGACCAGCAGTTGGCATAATGGCTACGTCGCTGGACTCCTATGTAGTCGACTGAGGTTCAAGTCGCAGACCCAGTGGCTTAAACTCATCCCGGGTGCATGTGTGTGCCCGGTGCATGTGCGTGCCCAAGATCCCAAGAGGAGAACAGAGAAGAAGGGATTATGTTGTAGCCGTTCCCCCGCCTCCGGAGGGCGATTACTCGCTTTCTGTTTCTGTCTGTCTTTCTGGCGAGTGCATGCGCCCTATAGCAGACCCCACCATCCCCCTCAAAAAAAAAGACTGTTTCTTTTCTTTTAAGAGGTGTGTGTTCACAAAGGGTAGTGGAGGGGGATGGGGCAGACACATTGAGAGGGAAAGTGAGAAATCACCCCCAGGGGGGGCGGCCACTCTGTAAACCCTTCTCCATTCTTCTCCCTAGATCTTGGGCACACACGCACACATGCCTAGTGTGAGTTTTACGCCACCAGGTCCAGGACTTGAATCATGGTCAGTCATGTGGGAGTCCAATGACATAACCGCTATGCCACCTGCTGGACCCAAGACTCCCTTTCTTGGAAGGCTAAACAAAATTATCTAAACTAAAAGTGCAATGCCTAAAAATTCTAATTTATGACAATCTATCAGGACACATACAATACAGAGAAGTTTAAAAGTGCCAGATATTTTTGATACTGATATGAAAAACTGTCAGGATTAACTGTGCAGCAATAATCAAATTTAATGTATAACAGAAACTTCTTGGATGCTTCTTATAAAGCAATTATGTGACCTTCTCCATAGCCCCAAGAGATTCTGATTTAGTAAGGTGTGGGACCTGGAAACTTTTTTCAAACACCTCAACTGATTCTGATGAAGTGTTTCAAGCCCACACTAAGAAACACCTAACCTGGCTCTCATGTAAGAAATGTGATTTAAGGTCCAGCTTTCCCAGTCCCTGCTGTGTGACCTCAGACTAACTTAGTCTCTGAGGTTCAGATTTCTCATCTGTAAAAGGGGAATACTAAAGCCTTCAGAGGATGATAAGAGGCCATAATGAAACAATTCTTTATTTTTTTAAGTAATTATTTTATTTAACTTTGTTTATTTATTTTAACTTGATGGGGGGGAGACCAGAATGAGAGCAAGAGAAAGATAAATGAGAAAGCAAACCGCCAGGTCCGGGACTCGAACCATAGTCGGCCATGTGGGATTCCAGTGCCCTCAACCACCATGCCACCTACCAGCCCCTATAATCAAACGATTCTTACATAAGTATCAAATACTTAATTTTTACCATGATTCACCCAGTTCCAAATGACAAAAATAATGAAGAAACGACATGTGCGTATTCATCATGACATTCTGAATACTTCTAATTCATGATAATGTTCTTTTCTATTTTCATATTAAAATTTTCACCTATGGAATTCTATAAGAACCCCCCCTATGCTCTTTTTCTTCCTCTCTAACTATATTATGATACATGAGAAAAGTTTCTGGACACATAACTTAAATGTTTCCAGTTCCAAATGCAAATCTTACCATAGGCATAAAGCCATGAACAGAAATATTTTCAAAAGAAAGTACTCTACTTTTCACATCATCAGTGTAAACACTCAAAAAAATTACTTTTACTGAACACCAATCAGATTTTATAAAAAAGTAAATCCTATCTGGATTTTCCTGATAAACTATTAAAATAAGATATAAAATTATTATCTAAATAAAAGGGACAGTATGTTTTGTGTTTTTTGTTGTTTTTTTTTTAACTTTTGCTATAGAGCTCATGCACTTGCTAGAGAGAGAGACAAAGAGGGAAAGTGAGAAATCACCCCTCAGGGAGGATGGCCATGCTGCAATCCCTTCTCCTCCAGTCTCATCTCAGGATCTGGGACACACATGCACACATATCTGGTGTGATATTCAAGATGCTGGGACCGGGTCTGGAACCCCGGAGTCAGCAAAGTGGGATCCAGTAGCTTTAACCACCACACCACCTACTGGCCCTTGTTTTATAATGTTTTCTAAAATTATTTATTATTACTATTATTATTGTTTAACTTGCTATATGGCACATGAGCTCAAGAAAGTGAGAAAGCAAGTCACCAGATTTAGAACTTGAGCCAGGCGGCCAAGAGGGAGTCCAGCATCTTAACCACTATGCCAACTACTGGACATGTTTTAAACTTTTTAAAATCACATTAATTGTGCTATAACCCATTTCATTTCATTTCATTAAGTAACACTGCTGGCTTCCCCTATTTTAAAATCCAAAGTGTAATTTATAAATATCCAACTCTGTCTCATCCCAGAAGATATATACACATATTTACACACATGCACACAAATATATTTTGTTTTATAAGTCATCAGGAAGGGGACCAGCAGGTGGCGTGGTGGTTGGGGTGCTGGACACTCCCACATGGCTGACCATGGTTCAAGTCCCAGACCTGGTGGCTTCCTTTCTCACTTTCCCTCTCTCTCTCTCTCTGTGTCTCTCTCTGGTCAAAGTAAAATAAATGAAGGAATAAATAAAATTAAAATAAATAATTTTTAAAAATTAAAAAAAAAAGTCATCAGAAACTAAACATTTTAGAACCTAGAAATCCTAGGGCCAGCAGGTGGCATTGTGGTTATGATGCTAGATCCCACATGGATGACTGTGGTTTCTAGTCCCAGAAACCACGCCAGGTATGTGTGTGTACGTCCCAAAAATCCTGAGAGGGGAATGGGGAAGAAGGGAATTGCTAGGTGACCACGGCCTCCATCGCCTTCCCAGGGAGTGGGAGATTTCTCACTTTCCCTGTCTCTATGTCTCTCTGTCTCTTTCCTGAGAGTGTATGCACTTTATGGCAAAAATCTGAGAGAAAAAAAAGAAACTAGAAAAAATTCTATATGCTGGGACCAACAATCAGCGTAGTGGCTATGTCACTGAACTCTCATGTAGTCAACCAGTATGACTCTCAGACCCGGTGGCTTAAACTCACGCTGGACGTGTGTGCGTGCGTGCCCAAGAACCCAAGAGGAGAACAGAGGAGAAGGGATTGCGGCATGGCCATCCCCCCTGGGGGGTGATTTCTCGCTTTCTGTCTCTCTGTCTCTATCTTTCTGGTGAGCGCACACACCCTATAGCAAAAACTTCTCCAAAAAAAAAAAAAAACGTTAAAAAAAAGAAATTCTATATGCTTTTGCACTAACCAGAAATTCTAAATGATACTTTTGTATAAACTCAGAAATTTACTGATTTATTTAGGAAAAAAGTATGCAGTACCCTCTGCACTTTACTATTTGATAGCATTCTAAAGGTCAACGGTTAAAACTATCTTAACTCTCATTACAAAAGCAGCAACATCCTACGATAACTTAACACCTATTAAAAATCCACTACTGGATGGGTCTCTCACTTTACCCAAGATGGACAAAAGCAAAGTGGAAAAGGAAAGTGCAGCCTGTTAAATGTGAAGGAACAATGGAACCTTGCTGAGCAGCAATTATCATATTATCAATATTTTCCGAGTGTTCACTTCTTCAAAGCACTATACAGATTATCACTCCTCAGCCAAGGCAAACTGGAGGGGAGCTGAACAGAGCCCTGAAAGCCCTTTCTGCAGAAGAATGAAACCAAGGGCTGGGGAGCATGGGGCACAGGGTGGATGGTCAAAGTGTACAAATTTTCATGTATAAGATGAACAAGTTCTGGAAACCCAATGTATGGAATGGTGACTGTAATTAATAGTAATGTAATGAAATACACTGAGATCTCCAGTGTTCTCGACAACAGTAACAACAACAACAAAAAAAACTGATAACTAGGAGTAATAATGTTAGCTACCTTGACTGTGGTACTCATTTCACAACGTGTAATGTATATGGAAACATCAAGTTACACACTGTAAATACACACAATCAACCATAATTATAAGTACAACAAAGCCAGGGGGAAAACATCACCAAGGGAACCCTGCAAAAGATTTTTGTTTTGGGGTATTAGATAAAGAAACCGTGGGCCACGAGCGTTTTGCAAAAACCTGGGAAGACGCTAGAGAATAGTCGAGATTTAGCGACTGTAAAAATTATTGCAATAAAGTAATTTAGAAAACTGTACTGTATCTGTTTATCAGAGAGAGAGAGAAAGGTAGGTTCCAGAGGTCCACACAGGGGGAGAAAATTTAAGAGTGCCACAAGGAAGATCTGAGAAAGGGTTTTCACAGCCCCAAAGTGGCGAGGGTGAGGGCGTTCCAGCTCTGGCCTCCCCTGTAATACCCTACCTGCACCCCCGCCCTGGGCCTGTTGGAGGTCCACTGGAGGGTCCCAGCCAGGGGACTAGAAAGAGGCCGCGGGTACCGGGGAAATCAGAACGGCGCGGCCCCTAGGGAGGAAGGGCTGCCAGAGGGTGGGGCGGGGTGCGGAGAGGAAACCGAAAGGACAACGGCGGGTGCGGGGGTGCAGGGTAGCCAGGGACCCACACCACACCACACCCCGGAGCTCGGCGGGTGAGGAAGGGGCCCGCCAGCTAGCAAGAGGCAGAACTTACTCCGCGGTCCTCCTCAGAGAGGAAGTCGGGGCCGTCGTCCAGGCCTTCCTGCGGGGTTGGCCAGCCCGGCGCGGCGAGGGAGAGGATGGGACGATGGAGACACAAAGGAAGACATTAGTGCCAGGCCGACGCGGTCCCCGCGCCCGCCCCGTGCCCGCCGCCCCCACCGCGCGCCCAGCGCTCTGCGCCGCTGAAAACACCCACCATCATGGCTGCTCCGAGCCCCTCCCTGGGCCGGCGGTGGGCCGAAGGGAGTCGGTGAGCAGGGAAGGGTGGTGGGGTCATTCGCCGAGGTGGAAGCTCCCATGCCCCGAGGGCCTGAAGGCCCAGACCCACAGGAGTTGACCCGTGTAGTGTCAAAGGCCACGTGGGGAGCTGTCCAGTTCCTTAGCCCCGAGGGCTCTAGCGAGAAACCATGTAGGTGCCCTCCGAAAGCCACAATAAATCATCTAGTCTTTGTATTGTGCCACACGATAATTAATCACAGTATCTTTTTGCCTATGGAAGCTGCGGGAAGCAAGGGCCTTCATTGCAGTCAGAGACTGTAATCAAGCTTTTACTGCTGGCAAGGTAATAACTACCTCCGGATTTCGGGCGCTCCTGGTTGAGCACTATAAAAATGAGCTGTTTGTATTACAAGTGTAATGCTTTCCTCGGTACGAGGAAATTTCTCCAGACCTACTAGAACTGTGTAGCTGGGCAGCATCAAATGGGTATCCACAGGCACTTCAAACAGGTAAAATCATTCCTAACACACACACACACACACACACACACACACACACCCTGTCCTCCTCACCTATCACTCTCTTTCTCTTCCTCTCTCTCTCTCTCTCTCTCTCACACACACACACTCAGGGATTCCTCTGCTTCCATTTAGTTAACAGCATCACCATCTTCAAATGATCAGATCAGAAGCATCTTCAGATGTTCAGGGTTTTCCCATATCCACCACAAGTACCATCAGCATGTCTTCTTTGAATCTTTGCATTACTCTCTTAACTTTTTTAATTTCCCACCTCTCTCTCCTCTATTCAATGCACTGGTCAGTCACAGATATCAATGAGTATTCTACTACCCCATTTAATAATCTTTACAAACCTCCATTGTATAAAAAGCCAACTCCTCAGTCTTTAATTCCAGTCCCTCTAAATTTGAATCCCTGTCTGCATTTCCAGGCCCACCACCCTATCTCATTGATTTGAAAGCCTCAAAACAATAATATTAAACTTACTAATACTTCCTTGAGAACTTCCTGTAGCTTTGATTTTGTATGTAAGAACTGAGACACAAAGTTACTGCCCCATCATGGATACTCTCTAATACCGTGGGATGGAGGACTTCGGTTTTTTTCTTTCTTGTTTCACAGTTCATTGTAATGACAACTGCCTACTCAGTATCTCTCCCTCCCATATATCTCTCATATCTCATTGGCTAGATCTGGTTCACATGCCTACTCTTAGACAATCTCTAACAAGAGGACTGGTATAAACATGACTGACTTAGAGTCTACACCTAACCCAGTCAGGATTTATCTGTGGCCTTGGGACTGAGGCTAGCCTTCCTAAACCAAAAGACCTCTTAGAAGAATGGGGGTTGGGCCAGCAGGTGGTGTGGTGATTAAGGTACTGGACTCCTAAATGGCTGACATGGTTCAAGTTGTGGACCCAACTGCTTGAAATTCATGCCGGGCACGTGCACATGCATGCCCAAAATTCCTAGAAGAGAATGGAGGAGAAGGGATTACAGTGTGGCCATCCCTTTGGGAATGAGTTCTCACTTTCCCTCTTCCTATCTCTCCCCTCCCTGGTGAGTACATGTGCCCTATGGCCAAAAACTAAAAAAAAAAAAAAGAATGGAGCACCTGAATAAAACCGGAATTGTGGGAAGGAGAGGGAGAAGAGGGGAAGTAGATATGGGGTGCAGAGCCAACAGCGTCAAAGAAACACTTCTGAGACTAATGGGAGTCATATAACGATAGCAATTGACAAAAAGGTGGTATCTGATACTGCCCAAATCTATTAGGTACAATGATAGCTCTGACAAAATGAATCACTCATAATCTACTATTTGAAAATAATCACTTTTCATATCTTGGCAACTATCCTTTTTAAACTAACTAATTATTTATTTAACTTTTAAAATTTATTTTTAAAATTTGACCAAAGAGAGACAGTCAGAGAGAGAGAAAGCAAGCCGCAAGGTCTGCCACATGGTAATCCAGTCAGCCACATGGGAATCCAGCACCCCAACCATCATGCTACCTGCCAGCTCCAGCAAATAGCCTTCTAAGGGTCTTCCTATCCATATGCCTTTTTTTTTCTAATTTAATCAAGAGCAAATTTTTCTAATTTAATCAAGATTACATTTTATAACATTTTATTACACTTCTACCATCTCTATTCTTTGGTATGAGTTTTGTTTGTTTGTGGAGAGGTTTTTGCTATAGGGTGCATGTGCTCACCATAAAGACAGAGACAGAGAAACAGAAATCACCCCCCAGGGAGGATGGCCACACCGCAATCCCTTCTCCATTCTTCTCTCAGGATCTTGGGCATGCATGCACACGCGCCCGGTGTGAATTTAAGCTGCTGGGACTCAAACTGCGGTTGACTACATAGGAGTCCAGTGACATAGGCATTTCACCATCTGCTAGTCCCAAAATAATTCTTTTAAAAAAGAAAATGCTGGGAACCAGCAGTTAGCGTAATGTCTATTTCGCTGGACTCCCATGTAGTCGACCACGGTTCGCATCCCAGACCTGGTGGCTTAAAACTCACACCAGGCACATGTGCGTGCGTGCCCAAGATCCCGAGGGGAGAATGGAGGAGAGGGGATTGTGGCGTGGCCATTCCCCCTGGGGGGGGTGATTTCTCACTTTCTGTCTCTCT